ATATATATATATATATATATATATATATATAACTTTAGAACTAAGAATGCATTCTCTATCTCGACATCAGCACACAAAACAAAAATAAGTGTAGCAGTCACTCACGCAGAAAAAACGTAAACAAATAAGAAACTTTTATTTTATTATTTCAAGCTGACAATAACATGTTTAAATTATTTGAGATTGATTGCATGGATTATTTTTTTTTTATTTTTTTTAAATAACTAATATAAATCTGCAAATTCTAAAATTCTTAATTGTTTGGATTGGCTTTACATTGTAAATAATGTTATGTTCTATATAAGACAGTCACATTCAACATGGGTGCCGTTCTAATGTATATTAACATTTATATCAACTCACATTAATACTAAAAGTATTTTAGCTATTTATATCTTTTTCAATCAATCTATCCTCATTATAATATTTTGGGTGATTGCTAGAAAATTTCTTTTTTTTTTGGTTTTTTTTTCTAATGATGCCTATTTTTCATAATTTTAAAATAGTCACTCCTATTTTAAAAATTCTAAAAATATCCCTAGAAAATCATCATGCATTTTCTCATTCAAATCTAATAAATTTTTATTAAAGTTACACTTTATTTTATTACGAGAAGATATCATTGATGTTCCAATTAATCTAATATGATCCAAATCTATATGCATAAAATTATCCAAGAATATTAAATTCATCATAAAGTGTAACTTGCATGAAGACCTAGAGGCTTTTCAATACGATCCCACTTACATCAAAATTAATAACTCAATGTAAGTGCATGTGAATGTAAGCTGTAAAAAAATAATCTTTTACTATTACGCTAAAATAATCATAAAGGGACTAAATATTTTATGAAATATTCAACGATGAGATAATCCTCAATCGTCTATGACAATTACTATTGGCCTTAGCTTCACATGAACGATAATAAAATCACATAACATGTAGTTATATTTATCTTTGACTATTGTCAATGCGGACAGTTCCATGGGGACATCACACGAAGAGGCCACATGT